ACTGATTCCCAGGTTTTTTTTTGCCTTTGAAAATCCTTACGACCAGACCTCTCAACTGACTTGGACTGTGCTTCCTCAAGAATGCAGAGATTGTCCTCATCTTTTTGCTGTTTTCCCACGCCTTGGTGTGCTTTGAATTTCCCAACTCATGGTCTTGCAATACATACATGATGTGCTGTTATGTGGCCCCTCAGAAGAGCTCTCTAGCCAAGGCACCTGTGCCCTGCTGAATTTTCTAGCAGATAGCAGTTAAGGTCCCTAGATTTAAGGAAAACTTTTGCAGCCTGAAGGTAAAATACTAAGGGCTTTTCATATCTAAGGGAACCCCCAGGCTGGGGGAAGATGGAATTAAACCAGTATTTCCCTTCCCACAGCCAAGACCCTAAAACAGCTAAGGGGCTTCCTAGGAATAATAGGCTTTTGTTGGATTTTGATAGCAGAGTACTCTGAGATTCCACAAACCCTTCATCAGCTTATAAAAAGCCCAAAAGACACATTCCCACATTTTAACCTAGGAATCTCATTCCTGAGCTCTATTCCAGAAGCTTAAACAAGCTCTTCTAATTTCCCAGCACTGAGCCTACGAACAGGACACTGTTTCAATCTGTACATGATGAAAAATGGGGCATGGCTTTGGGAATTCTTACGCAGGATCAAGGACCCACTCAACAGCCTGTAGATACAGTATCTGAGTCATGAATTAGACCTTGCAGCAACAGGAAGGCTGTGCACCTTGGAGCTGTGGCTGCTGTAGTTCTGTTACAAGGCGTCTAAGCTGACTTTAGGCAAAGATTTCACTGTATATACGCCTCACAATGTGGCAAGACTTTTCTCCCAAAGGGAGCCTCTGGCTATCAGACAACTGGCTTCTGAAGTGCCAGGCTCTACCTCTAGCAGGAGCAGTCATTGAGATAAAGATGTTCTTCCCCAAACTTGGCCATTGTTCACCAGAAAAGGAGGAAATGGAGCCTGAAAGACATGTCTATGAATAGGTGATTCTCCACACACATGCAGTGGAAGAAAACTTGTCAGACACACCCTTTACTGATCCTGCTTTGACCCTCTTCTGTGACAGCAATTCCTTCATGGAAAATGGGAAAGGATAGCCAGGTTATGCAGGAGCAACTGTACATCAGATACTCCAAAATTCTTCACTTGCCCTTGGGACTGGTGCTAGCTAGCAGAACTCACAGCTCTGACAAGGGCTGAATGTTCTGTGTATATGGCAGATCCTTGTGCTAATATCTCAATGGCTTTGCAAGATCTTAAATGACATGACAACGTCATATCAGATCCTGAAATTCCCTGGACTTTCTTCTTACCCTCTTGTGGGAGGCTATTACTGGCTCTTCCTGGTGGAAACATTTAACAGTCTTATTGATCTTATTATTTGGCCCACACCTACTTGTTTTTTTGGCCTTGTCTCCGGCAAACTTAATGCTATATGCCTATCCAAGACAACAACTCCGGATGTCTATTGAGGGCCTTAGATGATCCCTCTGGCAAGTCCCTGGACCGCCAAGCACAGCTACAACCCCCTTAAACTGGAAGTAGTCAGAACAGTCTTTGCCCCTTGCCTCCTCATGGCAGTTAGGGTTATCTCTTCAGAAGGGGGAGTATTATAGACAGCTAAGTTAGGTAGAATATTGCAGGCAGACAGGGCTAGGCCTTGGACAGTCAATACAAAAGATGAAAAGCATTACAACTGTGGTTGAAGGTGCCTCTGTTGGAGGCCCAGCCGCAAGATAAAGACAGGCCTGCATGCCTCCCCAAGGGACAAGTGGTAACACATGGTCCAATAAATCTAGATAGACTCCTGTCACCTCAGTGGGCGGCCAAGACCCCTCAGGCCCATCCCTTCCCGAAAAGTTTATTCTTTCCATGTACACTTGGTACATGACTTGCTTCCCAATTTGATCATTACCCAAGTGGATATAGTTATAATCTTACTGATCAGTTTTGTTCCACATTGTACCCATATTGCAATTTTGTACCCACCTAGTGGTTTTGCTCCATAAAATACTCTCCAGATAGTGGGCCCACTGGCAACCCACTTGGGGCCCCTCCTGCCTCTCAGGAGCGGTCTCTCTCCCTAATATATATTTACTACACTTAAACCTCTGTTGTTCCTTGGAATTCATTCTTTGATTTTGGGCAACACAAATTCAGCATATCTGCCCCTTAACGTATTGGGAGTTGTATGTCCCCAATATCACACAGAAAACAACTATACTTAGAATGGAAGAATGTCACCCAAAATATGGGATGGATTCTTACCCAAAGGTGTAATCATGCTATTGTGTTGAGATACTGACTTGTTTGCTACTGACTGAAGGGCACTAGCTGGAATAAGATGCCCAGCCCCAGACACTACCCATTCTGCGTTGCCACAAGCCCATGGCCTTGGTTGTCTCCTGACTGTACAGGAAGATGTAATTAGGGCACCCATGGGCCCAAGGGCACCAGCCATGTTCACCCAGTTAACACCTCAGCCCTGGCAACTATGTATCAGATCATTTTTTTACTGGCCACTATCTTTATTCCCTGATAGGTCTTGAGGCTGTAATGGGGCATACGGAATCTTACTATATGGAATAAGCTCTAAACGACACTGCAGAGGGTATTTATTTCATTACTAAATTCCAAAATAAAAATGTCATTCTATAAAATTGGATGGCCCTAGATATTCTAACGACAGTGCAGGGTGGAATGTGTGTCATTATCAAAACAGAATGTTGTGTGTACATTCCTGACAACTTTGCAAATGCATCTTCTGCATTACGGGATCTACAATCACACATCATTGCAATCAGACTCCACCTTAAGCTTTGACGTAATTCATGTGTTGTTACTGCCATGTGGCTCTGATTCGAATTGTCTGCTGTTAAAAGGCTGCCAAGTGGTTAAAGCTGGAGAGGACACGGTAATGATTAGCTAGCATCCTCGTTCTTTGGAACCACCAGGGGGAACATTCTCATCTTCCGGGCTGATACTGTGTACTGCATTCTTTGTTTCATGATCCACTGTTGTGGGTTTGTACCTCTTACGCCCTTCTGTTCTTCTTTACTCTATCAAAAGATGCTTGTTCTCTGAAACAGAACCCAGTATTTCCATGTCACCTTCAGATCATTCTGGGTGGGACCTACAGTCCTTGGTCAAGCGGAATGAACGCCCTTCCTCAGCCTGAAGCAGTTATATGAGAAGTTGGTGGGTCAGGCCTCCTGTACCCCCTTGAGATTAAGGGACAAAAGTCAGGGGGTGGGAGTGGGATGAGGTACAGTATAAGAAATAAAAATTAGGTAGTAAGGAGACAAGGAAATTCAGATTTTAAAATTGTACTTAACTATAGGTTAGGTACAAGTTACTCAAGACTTTTTCCTTCCAGGAAACAAAAACAAACAAAAAATCCATAAATGTCTTAGACAATAAGCCTGTAAATCCAGGATCTGTCCTTTTAAAATAAGCCCATAAATCTGGGCATTGCATCTGTCCTTTCCACCTATAAATCATGCCTTTTCCACCCTCAAGGGAGCAGCTGGTGGGCAGCGTCTCAACTTCAAGCACATGCAGATGGCTTGCACTGTAACCTGAGAATACACACCCCAGGTTACCCATCCTGAAGACACCCGCTTAGGTATACCCCATCTATCCCACTTCCCTGAGCACCCGCACTCTGTCCTCACACATACCTGTTAATAAACCCTTTTCCTGCAGCTTAACAGACCTGTCCTGAAAACTTCTTCCATGATGGGAATCAGTGACCCTGCAAACTGATTTTGCAAGCGTGAGATAAGTTCCTCATTTTCAGCCTGAGGGAACCTCAGGCCCAACCAGGTAACAATTCCCATTTGAAAAAAAAGCCAGGTATGTTGGGGCACACCTGTAATCCCCCCAAGATCAAATGTCCAAGTCCAACCTGGGCAACTTAGTACTCAGCAAGGCCCTGACTCAAAAGACCCTGGGCTCAACCCCTAGCCCGCCCCTCTCCCCCGGCCAAAGACCGATGAAGGGGTCCAGATGCTTCAACTGCAACAGATTTTGCAGCGAAGTCTGTTATCTGGGTGTGGTAGCACACGCCTGCAATTCTACCTATTTAGGAGGCTGACACAAGGTAATCGTAAGTTAGGGCCCAGCCTGAGTAACCTGGACAGACCATCTCATTTTTTTTAGTGCCAGGAATTGAACCCTGCTCCCTGGGTTCAATTAATTTAAAAAACAAACAAGATCTTACTACATAGCCTAGACTGGTTTCAAACTTCCAATCCTTCTACCTCAATTTCCAAAGTGGTAGGAGTACAGGTGTATGCCACCATGCCCTGCTTATGTGACACTTCTATTAGCAAACAGGATGCCTCAGAGTTAAAAATTACATATGAGCCAGGCTTGGTGGCTGTCATCCCAGGCTCAGCAGGAAGATCTTAAGTTCAAGCCTAGCCTGGAAACCTTACTGACTGAGGGACCGTGTCTCAAAAAATGAAAACGGGCTGAAAATACTTCAGTGCAAAGGTCCGCGGTTTGACCTCCAGAACTAGGGGGTAAAAAGAAAAAGACACATGAAGCCAGATGTGGTAACACTCATCTGGAAAGCCAGTGCTTAAGGGGCTGAGAGTTCAAGACCAGGCTGGGATACACATCAGCCCCAGGCCCGTCTGAATGACACAGTGAGGGTCACAAAAAAAAAAAAAAAAAAAAAATACATAAAGAGGATTATTGTCTAAAATACTCTCAACATTCCACCTACAGAACACACAGCTGTATGTGCCTTAAGCCTAGATGAAGCTACCATCAGGTGCTAGGGCAGGTTTTCCCGATGGAGGTGTCAAAGCAGGGCAGGGTCTCATACACGGCGGGCTGGGAAGGACCCACTGCTCTTCGTGGCCTCCACTGGCAATGGCTGGGTCGGTCAGGTGAAGCACTGCAGAGCTGCTCCCTTAGTTCCTGACGCCCCTCTCATGGCTTCCTTCCTCCCCAGCCATTGTCCATTTACTTGCAGACAGCAGAAAGCAAAATATTTTAGTTTTTCCTTCACACAGACATAAAATGAAAACCGCTTCAGAAAGAAGGCTGTTAAATTCTTCAACAAAATGCATAGTCATTTATAAAAGTATGCACGAGGGACATCAGTACCCTTGTTTTCCTGGGGACTCTAGCCCCCACCTTGAAAAGAACAGGGAGAAGTACGGCAAGGGAATGTGTTCACGACAGAAGGGAGAGGACACAGAAGGTAAACTGAGGCTCCAGCCTTTGCTGCGTATCTCAGCAGAGACCATGACCAGAGATAATATATGTATTATCTGACGTCCAGCAGCTGGGCAAGCTCGAAGTGCCTGCTTGCACAGGCACAAAGGTAGGACAAGGAAACGGAACTGTGTCTCCACACCACATAAAAGTATGGATTACATCGCTACGCTTCTTTCCAACATAACCAGCTTCACTGAATAAAGGAGCTCCCTTCAAACACCTCAGACAAGGAACCTAAACTTACCACCTGCAAAAACTGACACCAGCAGGAGAGAGTCGAACGTGGCTGCCATTTCCCCAGGCAGAGGGATGGTCCTCCCACACAGGGTGAGGAGCTGGCTGAGGGCCAGCCAGTTCCTTAAAGTGCTCTGCGCCTTAACACTTTCCTGTTCTTTCTCATTTCTACCGCATCAAGGATTCCTTTCTCTCGGTGAAGGGCCATGGGGATGCACCTAGAGCAGAATCTTTCTTCCAGGTGGTGTGGGGACGGAACCCAGGGCCCGGCACATACTGCGCGAGTGCTCCACACTGAGCTCGTCCCCAGGCCAGAGTCTCTCTAAATAATACTATGGCAGTGCGTCCTGACCAGGACTGCACATCCCTGAGATCTACAATTTAACACACAAAGCTGAAAGTGTCAACTCTCTTAACTGGTAGGACTTCAGGCAAAATAATCGAGAAGCAAAAAACAAAAGCTGGACGCAGATGCACCTGGACGTGAGGGCTAGCTTTCCAGGTGGCTCAGAGGTTTGCGTGGCTCCCTTGAGTCACTTCTGCTCTGCGTGGCTTTCCCCCTTTGTCTAATCACTAACTGCTCCAAAACTCAACCCCAGTGGTAGTGGAGGTCCTCCTCCCCGCAGGCCTAGCAAGGCAGGAGTCCGGGGAGGGCGGGGATGTTACACGAGGAGGATGAGAAAATGGCACTCCAGGACCCGACAGAGCCCGTAACAAGCTTAAGCTAACACTGGTACATTACTATTCACAACAACGGATAGCAAGTTACTGTTATAAAAATTTACAATAAAGTCTTTTAAGAAACTGAAGTGCATTGAAGCTTGATTCCTGTAGTAAATAGATTACAATAAAACTGTAGTCGCTGGTTAAATTCTATTAATTGTTTTTAATTCTCTTTGACTTTTTCTCCTGGTCTTCTGTTAGCCTTTCTGCAGGTCGCTTCTTTAATCCCTTCATTTTCCTGGTTTGTAGTTTGCTTAGGTCTTGTTTCTGCATATGAATCCTTCCATAAGTTGTACCAAAAGTATCCTGGGACATATTTTTCTTCTTCTTTGGCTATAAAACAAGGGTGGGGAGTTAATATTTTTTATATACATCTATTTTTAACCACATGTCTAGTACATTAACTAGTAAAAAAATCTAATGTACAACTCTCATCATCAGTGAGGACCCTTCTGAATGACAAAGTGTGTAGCCCTACACATTTACCTCCTCAAACCCAAGCAAGCGTACAGATCTCCTCGGGATCCTAATAGGTCAAATATTCTGTTTCTAACAATTCCTAGATAACCGCTTCTTGGCCTTTTGGCTGAGATCAAGTGTAGCAATTCCTAGAAAAACTGTGAGAAGCAAGAATATAGACTACACTAACCAATGTCATGTATCAGAAGAATTTCCTCTTTTTAGTAAGTTTAAGGAATTGTGACTAGGAGACACTGTCTCCCTATGTAGCCTGGGCTAGTCTTGAACTCACTGTGCAGGGATTACAGGCGGTATGCACTACCACACTATTTTAAAGTCATTCAAAAGTCAAAACATGCCAGAAAAATGGCTCTAACTAACAAGTCCAAGTTCAGCCTGCACAATTTAGCCAGACCTTATCTCAGAATGAAAACAGGTTAGGGTAAAAACAGGTTAGGGATACAGCTCAGTGTGAAGGTCCTAGGCTCAATCCTCACTACCACAAACACCATAAACATCAGAACATGGCCTGATGCAGTTGTGCATACCTGTAACTCTACTATAGACAGCTAAGTTAGGGAAAAGTACTATAAGCAGTCAGGCAGGGCTGGGCCCTTGAGGGAGTCAGTGCAGAAGATGAGAACAAATCAAATTGTGGCTGGAGGCCCATCTGGAGAAGATTAAAGCCACAATGGCTACATTTCTTTTTTTGTTTGTTTTTCGGTTTGCTGATATAGGGTCTCGTTATGCAGTTTAGGCAGGCCTTGCCCTCACTGTGCAGCTCAGGCTGACCTCAAACTCAGGGCAATCCTCCTGCCTCAGCCTCCTGAGTGCTGGGATTACAAGAATGAGCCACCATTCCCAGAGCCCAGAGCAATGGCTAGATTTACATACTTCCCTGAGGGGTAAAGTTTGAGATTACTTGTACCACTTTTTTGAGATTTCCCCATATAAATAAACCATTATCTCATTAGGGACTGGCCACCCTCTTTCACCCATCAAGATTAAAACTACTAGGACTACTAAGACTAAGGCTACTAAGACTAAGACCAAAAACAAGACCAAAACTATAATTATTGACCAAGGTTAATGATGTCACCCATATGCCCTTGCTAACACTGGATCAACATTAGCCAAGTGGCTATACTTGTAATCTTTATGGATGACTACAGTTTGACCCATATTGTACCCACCTTGTGATTTTGCTCTATATCACTTTCTCAGAGAAGTGGGCTCATTGGCAACCCATTTGAGACCTGTCTCTCAGGAGGTATTCTTATTCTCCAGTCAATTTTCCTACGCTTCACCTCCACTATTCCTTAGAATTCATTGACTTTGGGGAACATCAACTTCCCATTTCTGACATCTAGCAGGTTGGGTGTTACATTTTTTTTGTCCTGTTTTGTTTGTGTGGTACTGGGAACTGAACTCAGGGCCATATGCATGGCAGGCAAGCACTCTACCACTGAGCTATAGCCCCAGCTCAGGGAGTTACATTTTCCTCCTGTATCAATTCTACCACTCAGGAGGCTGAGGCAGGAAGATAAGGAGTTCAAGTCTAGTGTGGGTTACACAGTGAAGGATCTCACAAAACCAAACAAAAAACTTGAAATGTAATTTATGCACATATGCTTTACGTACTCTATGCTCTAAACCTCCAGTCTCCACAAGGCCCAGTGCAGGTTTTTGCTGAAAATAGCAGTCTTGGCTACCAGAAAGTTCTCATCAAACCTGATGGCTTTTTATTCTCCTTTATGACTGGTTCATTCGGTTCTTTTTCCTTTTCTGGCCCTGACAGTCTAGTTTCATCTATTTAATTGATCTCTGTGTGTGTCCTTTAAGTACGGCCCTGAGCCACAGGTCATGTACCTTGAGAGCTTTTGGCATTTTCATGGATAGCTTATAAAGGTCATCTGAAGCCAGGTGTGTCCTCCTCAGAACCAGATCCAGCGACGGCCCCATCTCTTCCAACTCAATCCGTGGTGTTCTGCAGCCGGATTTCTTCAAGAGCAACCTTTATAAAATAGAAAAAAAAAAAAAAAAGAAACACACGGTATTGTGACTTTTACAAAAGTCCTCCCCCAAAAACAAGAACAGAAGTCCTCCCTCAAAATATTACTGTTCACGGCATTTTATAGTGACACAAAGTTTATTCAGAAAAGGGTGGATCCCAGGGACCCAGAAAGTCTCTGAAGAGAACATTGGAAGCCCCAGGGAAGGTGAAGAGACAACTCAACACTGAGAAAAGAGGGAGCAAACTGCACTTTTTATGGCTCCTGGCTCACAGAGAGAGGATCAGACCTCCAGAGACACAGTGAGCACAGGCGACTCCAGAGGCCTCTAGGGGGAAGCACATCAGGGGAACGGAGAAGTGGATGCCGCGGGCTATGGCAGCTGGCGAGTGACTACAGCCCAAGCCTCTGCTGCGTCCCCTGGGGAATGCTCGGCCAGGCGCCATCTGGAGGAGTCAACTGAACCAGGGGCTCGCAACAACCACGGGTTGGTTTCACCTCAGGGCTCCTAGTGTTGAAATCCCACGTGACAGGGTGAGGGACAACTACAGAAGATGTGCAGGGCAGAGACACCCAGAGTGTTGCAGGCTAAACAACCCAGGGCCCAGCCCCACAACCAGAGGCCAGGAGCGGCCTGAATTTCTGTGGAGGTGAAAGCACCAGAGGGCCAGGGATACAGCTCAGTGGCACAGCCCCTGCCTGGCAAGTGTGAGGTCCTTAGTTCAATACCCTGGTTCCTGACACCAAAAGCAAAGCAAAACAGAACACCAGACAAAAACGTGAGAAACAGCACCCCACCCTGATCCAACTGCAGGCTTGCTGGGATCATTCCGCTTGGGTCTGGGCTCTGTCTACCAGCGACTACACAGACATGCCCTGAGTTGGACACTACCACAAAACTGTAGACCCCAGAGGATAACTACAGACCTGAAATCACAAAGAAGTATTTTCTTTTTTTACTGTTATTGTTCTTCGTGTTTGTGTTTTGTTAGTTTTTTTCATCCTTGGTTTTGTGTTACCTTCCTTCCTTCCTGCACGTCTTCTTCAGTTTCCCAAAGCCTGAGTAATCTTTCTGTATCTTTCAGCCTTGCTTCTAATTTTTCTGTCTTTTATTTCTCTACTTTCTCCTCTTATCCCTTTTAAATTTTCTCCAGAGGGCAAAATCACCCTATTGAGTGGATATTTACTATATATAATTTTATTTATTCTTTTGAGATGTCTCGCTGTGTAGTGTAGGCTGGCCTAGATCTCACTTACGTAGCCCAGGCTGACTTCAGACTCACAGCAATCCTCCTGCCTCAGCCACCCACGAGTGCTGGGATTACAGGTGTGTGCCACCATGCTCCAGCTTGATTTGTTTTAGATTTTATCACATAGTCATGAATCTTGTACCTACAGATAAAGGGGGGCAAATGAACGGTTATCATGGTTTGTCATTTGCTAGACTGTGCTTGATGGTATTGTTATTGCTGACTGTGCTACTTTAGCCAAGGTGACATAGTTGATATGATCAGTTGTTCTTCTTTGTATGCCAATACCAACATGGTCTGGGGGTCATAAACAATACCATGTCCAGCACCAAAGAACTGAGTGCTAGGCAAAACAGACATCCCTAATAAATTGAAAAGGCAGGATCTCAGGACAGACTCAAAAGCCAAGTCAGTTAAATCTAGAAGACAGCTCTGAAAAGTAGTCATTTCCTAAAGAGTTCCTGATACTAGTAATAAGCAATTTATATGCATCAATGCAGAAAACAAACTAGAAAAATAGAAAATGAAAAACACAGAAGCAAGATGTAACCCCAGACCTCCAGCTCACCCAAGGCAAATCCAGGGGATAAAGAAGTGTAAGAAATCAAAAGCCTCCCAGCTGAGCTTTTAAAAATGGTAGCAGCAGACATTACAGAGATGACTGTGCCTGATCATCTGATCGTGAAAGATGAGAAAAAACAAGTCAAAAATAATTACACAGCAAAAGAGATGATGACCATATGAAGCACATGGTTAGTGAATCCGGAGTAGACACAGACAAAAAAAAAAAAAAAATAGAGGCACTCAGGAAAGTGATGGAAACCATGACTATCCAATATCAGGAAGAACTGGATTCCATAAAATGGATTCAAACAGATATCCAGATTAAAAATTCTACTGAAACTATACACAGTAGAATCAACCAATGTGAAGACAGAATATTAGACCTAGAAGAGAGGGTTGTGGTTAGCAATCATCAAATGAAAGACTTCTTAAAAATAGCAAGGGGTGGCAGGCCAGGGAGGCACACACACATAATCCCAGTAATCCCAGCACTTGGGAGGCTGAGGCAGGAAGATCGGTGTAAGTTTAAATCCAGCCTGAACTGCATAGTGAAACCCTGTCTCAAAAAAAAAAAAAAAAGGGACCATGAAAAAAATCAATCCAACAGTTGCTAGATGATATAAAGAACATAAGATTAATTGGAATCAATGAGAAAATCAAAAGCTAGCACAAAGGTCATAAAAAACTTGTTCACAGAAGTAAAAGCAAAAAACCTCTCAAACACAGAAAAAGAATGTGAGATACAGAAGCATACAGAACTCTAATTAGCCATGGTCAGAAAAATACTACACCAAGGCATGTAACAGTCAAGACTACAGAAATTCAACACAAGAACTGACTATTAAAAGCTGTCAAGAGAAAAAAAACCAAATCACCTATAAAGGAAAACCCATCAGAATCACTGCAGACTTCTCAACACAAACCCTTAAGTCAAAGAGAGAATGAAGTGAAGTATTTCAAGCCCTAAAAGAAAACCTCCAACCCAGATTGATGTACCTGCAAAATTATCTTTCAAAATTGATGGAGAAATAACACGCTTCCATGGTAAAGAACATCTGAAAAAATTTAAGACCTCCAAACTAGCGCTCCAAAAAGTTCTGAAGAATAGTCTAGAAAGATACAATGAAGCTGACAATTTCATAAATCCTAATAGAATGAATCCACCAGGCCAGGCAAGCAATTAAACAGCAGGGAAACAAAGGGTACCAACAACAGGAAAATAATATGACAAGGATAAATCAATACGTATCAGTTTTAACCATCAATGTAAATGGTCTCAATTTACCAATCAAAAGAAACAGATTGGCAGAATGGATCAAGAAACAAGATCCTACAATATGGGGCCTGCATACAAGAAACCCATTTAACTCAGAAAGAAATCCATAGACTGAAAATTAAAGGATGGAAAACAATACTTGATGAAACAGGAACCCAGAAAAAAGCAGGGGGAGCTATTCTATTTTCAGACAAAGTAAACTTCAAGCCAAGACTGATCAGGAGAGACAAAGAAGTTCACTACGTATTTGTTAAGGGAAAAATCCAACAAAAGAGACAGCAATCATAAATATATAAATGTACCAAATACCAGTGCATCCAACTACATTAAAAAAAATTCAGAAGAGGTGGGGCACAGTGGCACATGCCTGAAAGCTCAGCTGCTCACGTGTCTGCAGTAGGAAGATCACTTGAGCAATTTAAGACAAGCCTGGGCAACGCACTGAAACCTCACCTCAAAACAAAGCCAAAAAAAAATGAACCATGAAATGAAAACATTTAGGAAAGGCAAGCTTCTTAAACACTTTACAAATTCAATCCAATTGTATCCTTTGCATTATTTTTAAAAATTCAAAGATAAAATTGTACTATATTGCTGAGAAACAGGAGGTGAGAAAACTTTTCAGAAAATAAAATTTAATTGACTTTTTCATCTCACTTACAGATTTGCATAAATATAAAAATAATTTCGGGCTGGGTGTGATGGTGCACACTTATAAATCTAGCACTCAGGAGGCTAAGGCAGGAGGATTGCCATGAGTTCAAAGCCAATTTGAACTACATAGTGAGTGAGACCCTGTCTCAAACAAAACAAAAACACACACACACAAAAAGAAAAAAATAATTTGGGGATATAGCTCAGTGACACAGCATGTGCTTAGCAAGCATCAGGCTGTGAGTTTCATCTCCAACATCACAAGAATTAAATAATTTTAACTGAGTTCTTGAAACAGCATGTTTGTAAGATTAACAAATTCACTAAGAACATAAAAATTAAATCAACCCATTCAGAATTAGCTTTTCCATATAGCATAGGGCTTAATGACTTGAATAGATTAAAATGAAAAAATCTTAATAGAAACCCCAACTTTCTGGACACTAAATCCAACTAGCTCTAGACCTGAAAGATCTGAGGGAGGGAGGTAGAGCCGGCAGCTGATGCAGGAGGCAGAGGAAAGCCTGGGAGATTACTTTTGCGACTGCTATCACAGAACAACTGCAAGACCTGGAGTTTCTGTCCAACTTGTCACAGCAACCTGGTCTCCAAAGGGAAGAAGGGCCGACTGGCTGAAGAACAATGTTTACGTGTGAAAACATTAGCCCTTTCAGCCAAAGGCCACAGTGTGAGTTGAAAGAAGAGGACAGAAAAGCAAAGGCCCACGGAAAAGACCCGGAAGAGGGCAAACACCAGAGAGCTGAGGCGACTGCGCCAGTGTTCACTGAAAGCCCTCTGGGCCCCGCAGGTAGAGAGCGACACCCACCACCACCCACGCAGGCACGGCTGCGGGTCACAGGGAGTCACAACCACTACGCTCCACCAAATATGGTCGCTAATACCCAACGGAAAGGCAGAACAGACCCTCTAGGACACACAAACAGCCAAAATGTTACAACAATGAACTCTACACTAATGTTAAAAGATAAATTGAGCCTGGCTTGGTGGTGCACACTTGTAACCCTAGCACTCGGGAGGTTGAGGCAGCAAGACTGCCGCAAATCTAAGGCCAGCCTGGGCTACACAGTGAGTTTAAGACCAGTCTCAATTACACAGCAAGACCTTGTCTCAAAATAAATAAATAAAAGTTAAAAATGAATATTACAATGGAATTTGACAGAGGACATACAGGGAAATGAAGCCCTTAGGCTATGCTTCACAGTGCTTTCAAAAGTGACCTAAGAAAATACCCGAGTCAGACCCACTATAGGAGAAAATACTTTCGAAGCTAAAGTTATCAGGGTTGCCGGGCCTGGTGGTGCATGTGTGCAATCCCAGCACTCTGGAGACTGAGGCAGCAGGATTGGGAAGCTGAGATGACAGGCGTGTGCCACCATGCCCAGGCCCTCTTCCTTTGTATACCACCCACCTGCTGATGGCCCAGCTCAATATCTGAAATACACTGAGATTTCTCTTTTAAAATATATAATATACATTCTTCAAGAAAATGGGTTTGCTTTCCTTTTCCCTTAGGGCCTCACTACGAACCCAGGCTGACCTTGAACACACAATTCTCCTGCTTCAGCCAAGTGTGGGATTTGCTCTTCTTTAATGTTAGTCTTCAACTGTTAGTCCTTTAAGAATAGCGTGTCTACTTCTTCACACAGAGAAATGTATTAATAGAGAACTTTTAAGTGATCTGAGGGATCTTGTTAAACAAAACAGAAAACATTATACACTGAATCATAATAAAAAATAACCCAAATGAAATCTATTTTCCTCACTCCCACCCTGTCACATACACTGCACTGTTTTCTAGAGACAGACACTTCAACGCCAAGTCTTCCTGCGTCTGGCCAAGCATCTATGTCACGTGCCTAACATCCCCTTCACACCCTAACCGGGCTTACTGTCACCCCCACTAAGCTTGAAATCAGAAGAAACCTTCAGTGCCGCAAGACAAGTGTGGCATAAATGCAGAGCCACAAAGACACACAGAACCCGGTCTCTTCCTTTTGGATGGGTGGAGGCTGTGGCTGGGCCAACTGTAGTTTCCACATAAATTCTCAACATATTTAAATATTTGCTTATTTTCTGAGAAAGACTGACATCATTACTCTTGTATAACTTTTAATTTCCTGGTTTTCTCCCTCTTATATTTGGCTGGCAATTTTCATTAAGTGAACTCCCTTATTGAAGACTGTATTTACTTCTTTAGGTAAGTCAGTACTTCCTGTTCGGCATATTTCTCCCCATAAAACCTAATCAACGCCTTAGCAAAGGCATATGTGGCATTACTAAAGATTCTGCTTCATACAGATGCTTCTGACTCTGTAGTGAATACAATTTCCTAAGGAATAGAGTATTCAAACACGAGGAATTAATGACCACGAATGTACAGGAAGAAGTCAGTAGAACTATATCCACTAAAAGAGTATGTCAAAATTTATAGTACCATAACTTCATGTTCAGAATTCCTCTCGTCCAAGAAGCACAAAGCCACTTAAAAGCCTCATTAGCCTTCATAAACACGGATATGAACATTAACTTCTACCTTGTGCAAGTCGCCTAAGGCCTAACTTGCTGTATGAGAGCAAGGACACCACAGCACTGCCCAGGGAGTGCGATCGAGTGCAGTGGGCCACACTGCGCAGGCATAGTCCCAGCTGTATCAGCACCGTCTCCCTTTTAGGAGAACTGCTGCATTATCTCAGTGGTACCCTGACACTGTGCAGGAGAAGCAGGCTCTGGGAAGTGGTAGGCAGGAGTCAGTGAAGGGGCTCCCAGACAGGGCCGAGCCCTGGGACCACCCCTCCTTCACACCCGCAGAGCTGGGGCTCAGTGGGGGCCGCTGAAGCTACTGAGGCACAGGTTTAAAGATTCTTCCCAGTAGCACCCCACTCTTCAGTGCACTATTTCCTATTTCAGATCAGTGGCTAACAGGTACTACAGGACACATGTGGCATATCTGCAATTAAAATTCCATACCAGGGTTCTCGGTTCCCATTATGAGAGCTATCACACTAACCTCAAGGTTATCTTAGTTGTCCCATTCTACAGTGGACGTATACAGTTACACTGCTAATTTACCCTTGTTCTGAAATCTGATGTTAAAATTTTCTGCCTGGTTTGTTTTAGTGTCTCTGAATTTCTTTTTTTTTAATAATGTTTGCAATACATGGTAAGTATACTTAGCTTGGGGAATCAGTACATACACACACCCCACTTTAATCAATTTTACTTCCCCTTTCCCTCTATGCATCCCTGTTCTGCATTTCTTCAAAAAGCTAAATTTTCACTAAATATAAGACCAGGTATAAATGTTTTCTGCAAAACTATTCACTATGAAAAAAAAAAAAAAAACCAAAACTATTCACTATGAAAGTTTGAGGCAATTATTACTATTCATTCTTACTCTCAAAGATTTTTAAAAATGTATTTCTAGTTCCTTCATATCTGGAATCTCCACATTTAAAGTAACTTTTTGTCATTCTTAAATTATAACTTTAACATAAAATTTTGATCATGTTGTAATGTTAATTTTTCTATGTTAATGATCTTACATCATTTCTAATTTTCTAAATAGCACTCGTCTACACTATAGGGTAATACACTTTGAGGGGGTGAACTCAGGCCCTCATACATTCTAAGTGTGAGCTCTAACACTGTTACACCCTCCAGCCCCCAATATACTCCTGAAACTCCAAAATCAAATGAGGAAATGCAAACAACACACTTCAGGATGTTCTAGTCTTAACTAGCTAAAACTGGTCATCATACTCCTAATTACATTTTATAATCACTGGGTAGTCTATTGCCTTTTGCCTTATTATTTTACTGTTAATGAAATGAAAAACAAAAATGGTACTAATCATACCATGAAACAAACTGAGCATCTTTTGACAAAATAGTTGAGAGTAAAATAAAAATTATTAATTAAGCCAGGCATGGTGGCACAAGCTGGCAACTCAACACTCGGGAGGCTGAAGCAGGAGGATTGTGGCGAGTTTGAGGCTAGCCTGGGCTACAAAGTGAGTTTAAGGCTGGCTAAAACTACAGACCAAAATCCTATCTCAAAAAGACAGAAAGGAAGAAGGAAGGAGAGAGAAAGGAAGGGAGGAAGGAAGGAAGAGAAAAAGAAATTATGAACTGAAAAAAGTAATATTGTTTCATTTGGATAGTCACTGGACACAAGCTAGTCAGCCACATATTCCACTGTGAAGAAAAACAGCCTTTAAAATCATGTATGTGGAGCTGGGCACAGGGGCGCCTGCAGTTCCATAACTGGGGAGGCTGAAGTGAGAAAATCACGTGAACCCAGGACTTTGGGCCAACTTGGGCAACACAGCAAGATTTCGTGCTCAAATAAAAAATTCCACCATCGGTGGGTACGACAGCACACGCCCACAGTCCCAGCGGGGAGCCCGAGGCAGAAGTACAGCAAGTTTAAGCTCAGCCTGGGTCCCTGGACAAGACCCTACCTCAACATAAAAGTGAAAAAAGTCCCAGATGTGGTTCAGTGGAACGCCTGGGTTCAACCCCACCGCCACAAAAGCCCACCAACCGCTGGATAAAAGGCTGGACACAGAGGGTCACACAGCAGTGCTCCACAGAGAAGACACGTGAGCACCAAGCCGCTGCCCACAGGCTGCAGTGCATCGCTCACGATGCCCGTCAGCCCTGAACTCACTGCACCAAGCTGGGCAGGCAGGGCGCAGAGCGGGCCCGTCCACACAGTCTCCAGGACAATGTGGGTCTAACAACCCACACAAATACTGTCGCTTTAAAACAGAGAAAAGGTGTCCTTATTTCTAAAGGCACAACTACTGCGTTTCAACTCTCTAACAAAAACAATCTGTTTGTTAGGATTTGTATTTATGGAGTGGTGGGGTTGGGTAAAAAGCTGGGCTGGAGGGAGAGGGTAACATGAACCTAGGATCTTCCTGAGTTCAGGGCCAACCTTGGCTGCCCACTGAGCTCAAGACCACCCTAAACTACCTAGCAAAACCCTGTCTCAAAGACACCATTAAAAGGAATTTAAAAAAAAAACAAACCAGACTCGAAGTTATAGGGTTCTGAGATTTGTTTTGCTGGCCTGAGCTGTGGCTTGGCGCTCGAAACCTGGTCAAGAACAGAGTTAATTCATAAAGCCAGGGAGATGCATTCTCAGTTCGTGTCCCTACCTCGGAGTGCGCAACAGCAGGTGCTCTGGGACCCCGGAAAAGCAGCACTGCGGGGGCAAAGTCAGCAGGGGAACTGCAAAGCAGGAAATGCACCGGGCTGCTGCTACTGCCGATCCACAAGCTCTCCCCACGCACCAACCGACTCCAAGACCGAGTTCTGTCACGCGGTCACACAAAACACCAGCCCCGAGGGGAAGCAACACGCGGCAGGAAGGGCACTTACTTATAGCTGCGAAAGTAAACCTTCCCGTTCAGAGCAGTGAAGTGCAGAACATACTCCAGCCCAGCCAGGCGGATATTCGCCACTGTGGGGCCTCTGAAGAAATCTAAAAGCACACGTAAGTTGTTAAAACAAAACAAAAGCTCAACACATTTTTAAGATTCTGTTATGAAGTGGCGCATTCTCAGTGTCCTATTTTGCGTCAATATTCACGTAAAAAGTGGGCAAACAGCTCACAGATTATTTAATCTCAGGACTTTATTTTTGTACTCGGTTCACTGACAGTGTTTCACATGTGATACTTTTAAGCCATTGCTCAGCACAGGATCATCACATTTACCACATCTGTTAACTTTACAAGAGAATGTAAATCATGGTATTAAACTGTAGCCTGCAGACAGGCACGTCATCAGTCCAGGACCAGCGCAAGGTGCACGATGAGTCCGAGGAGTAAGGAATTAAAATGTATCTAAATGCAGAACGCTGACTAAAATACCTGGGCTAAAAGGGCAGGATGTAAACAGCCCAAATGCCCAGCAAACGATGAATGGATAAAGCAGATGTGATTTTCTTTTACGATGGAGTACTACCTTGCCATAGTGAAGGGTAAGCTCAAAACATTTCTAGCTAAATAGACGTACCCTGACACCACACTTTTACATGAAATAAATCGAACACACACGTATAAATATTGCACTATTTCTCTGGTGTGAGAAACCGAAGGTGTAAATAAGGAACAAAATGTATACTAGATTGTAGAGTAAAATGTAAAATAGGAAGAAAATGTTCAAATGGGAAGGGGAACTAGGGAGGGAAGGAAATGGGAAGGGGAAAGGAAAGAAGGAAAAGAAAATAAAATGAGAAAAGGAAAAAATGGAAACAGCTTTCATAAATAAGGAGAGGAGGAAGGGTTGAAGGGAGGGGAGGAGCACAGAAATTTAAAAAACGATCAAGTTATCCCATGTACAGGTATAAATTCCCTATAATGAATGTGACTATTATGTATACCTAAAATGTATCCATGACTTAAGTAATAAAAAAACTCCTAAAAGACCAGGATGAAGCCAAGTGTGACAGGGCACACCTGTGATTACAGCACTTGGGAGGCAGAAAGATCATCCCAAGTCTGAGGCCAGCTTGGGCTACACAGTGAGTTCAGAACGAGCCTAAACTACATAGCAAGACACTGTCTTGACAGAGATTGACTGACTGACTGATAGACGGATTGACAGATACACGGATGGCAGGCAGGCAGGCAGGATGATGGATAAAGTAAAAAGGCAGATGTTATGCACCAGGACCACCTGGGCAAGCGAGACAGGCTCCACCACTGAGCTCGTCTCTAGCTGTGTGTGGATGTACTATGAATGGGGCCTCTAAGGAAGTAATTAGGTTTAAATGCACTCATAAGGGAGGCTCTAATCCACAGGAGTCCTCACAAGAAAAAACAGAAGGACGCTTGTTCACTCTCTCCCCCAAGGCACCCATCAATGACAGGCCCTGGGAGGAAGAAGTGAAAAGACAGCCATCTGAAGACAGGAAGCGAGCTCACGTCAGAAAACACAAATGACAGGAACCTACATCTTGGTCCTCAGCCTCTGGAACTATGAGGAAGTACACAGCTTAAGCCACCAAGACAATGGTGTATTTTGTCAGCCCAAGAGAACTTGTTCAGCGGGCGGTGGTGGCACATGCCTATAATCCTAGCACGTGGGACACTGAGACAGGAGGATCACTGAAAGTTTGAGGCCAGCTTGAACTGCATAGCAAGACCCTATCTCAAAAAAACAAACCAAAACAAACATAAAGGAAAACACGAGTTCCACTATCTCTGAGACAGTAGAGAAGATTAAATTTAATAAATTACCTATCCTGACCTATAGTGGTTATTTTCACTACTGCATACTTTCCAAATGGAGTAAGAAATGAGAAAGGTTAAAAAAAAAAAATAGTAACAACTGATACAGCTATGACCACTGATGTAAATAAAGGCGATGAAGAAAAAGCAATCTGGTCAGGTAAACAGTAGGTCTTTTTCCCCTTTTTGGTCCCTTTGAGACAAGGTCTTAGTTTGTAGTGTAGGATGGCTCTGAACTTACTATGTAGCTCAGGCTAGCTTCAAAATCGTGGCAACTCTCCTGCCTCACCCTCCTGAGTGCTAGGATTACAGGTGTGTGCCATCACGCTTGGCCAAATAGTAGGTCTTTTAGCAGCATTTGATAAAATAAAAAATTATGACATTTATTATCATCTTTATAGACAAGAAAGTCACACTAAAAAAATAAATAAATAAATAAAAATAAAGATAACTGGAGATGTAGTGCCTAGTGCCACTCAGTAGTATGGGCCTAGCATGTGTGTGGGCTTGGTTTTGACCCTCAACACTAAAAAGAAAAGAAAAGAAAAGAAAATTAGGATAGGCTGAATCTAAAAATAGTTACATACTGATTTTCTATTAAGCACACAAAAAAATAGATAAAAAGGAAACATGCAGCTTGGTGGCACATGCCTATAATCCCAGTGCTTAGGAGGCTGAGGTAGGAGAATCATCACAAGTTCAAGGCCAGCCTGGGCTATATAGTGAGTTCAAGGGCAGCCTAAACTATAAAGCAAGACCCTGTCTCAAAAAAACCAAGAAAGAAAAAAAAAAGGAGTTCCCCCAGATGTGGTGGCAAATCCCTGTAATCCCAGAATTTGGGAGGTTGAGGCAAGAGGATATGGATACTTATGAGTTCAAGGCCAGCTTGTGCTACACACTGAGTTTAAGACAACCTGAACTAGGTAGCAAGACCATGTTTCAAAGAACCAAAAAAAAAGTTTGGGGGGTGGTGCGTAGTGGCACATGCTTGTATTCCTAGCACTTAGGAGGCTGAGGCAGGAGGACTGCCGCAAGTTCAAGGCCAGCCTGGGATATCCAGTGAACTCAAGATCAGCCTGAACTAGATAGCTAGACCCTGTTTCAAAAAACCAGAAAAGAGGGGCTGGGGATTTAGCTCAGAGGCACAGTGCCTGCCTGGCAAGCGGGAGGTCATGAATTCAATTCCCAGTACCAGAAAAAAAAAAAAAAAACAAAAAAAAAAAAAAAAAAAAAAACAACCAGAAAAGAAAAAAATGAAACTAAAAGTGAAAAGTAGTTCCCATATAAATTTTATTATGTGGGGGGACCCAAAAAATTTATTATACAAATCTATGTAGTATAGTATTGAAGAAAGCAGAAAAGAAACTCCCTAGAAGGACCTTGATTAACTTCTTTCCCCGCTGATCTACTATTCAGTCTATGACACCGCCACACACCAGACAAGGTCATTTCGGCCACCAAGGACCACACACAGAACGTGATCACCTAGTGATGCCCCAGCTGTTTGTGTAAACACGATGCTCACACACGGACGAAATCACCTACTGACACAGTTCTTAGCACACACGCTCTTCATTAAATGCTCACGTATGTCTGAATACACGCAAACACAGAGTCGTCCTCACATTTGTACTTAAAGCCTGACTTCCCTCTACGCCCTGGTGGAACCTCGTCCCCCTCCCTCTGGTTTTCAGGCCCCCTTCACGCTGCATTATGCGGTTGCTCCTGCCACCTAGTGGACGCACAGAGTGAGACACCAGGGCTTAACCAGCTCAAAGAAGCAGTGTTTGTTTTAACAAATTTGAACTCTCTCTCAATGACATTAGTTACACGGGGAAGCGGGGAGGGGAGGCACCTAGGCAGAAAACATGAACCATCGGAGGACAAACAACAGTATCTTGTGGACAAATCAGACTGAAAAATACCCTTGATAATCTGGGGAAGATAACAGTGAAAGAATACTTGTCACTACTCCTCCTGTACAGATCTAATTCACAGAAAATACAGGTGGGGCTGGTGGCACAGCACAGAGGCAGAATGCTCGCTCAGCATGTGCAAAGCCCTGGGGAAATTCCCCTTGCCCCCTCAACACCTGCCAAAAAAAGTGTAAGTCGTCTATAAAATGACCAGACAGGGGCTGGGGATTTAGCTCAGCGGCACAGCGCCTGCCTGGCAAGTGCAAGGTCGCTGAGTTCGATTCCCAGTACCGGAAAAAAACCAAACCAAAGAAAAGAACAAAAACAAAAACAAAAATGACCTGACAGGTCCTCGTGAGAATGAAGCACTCAATATAAAGTACCCAGCCAATGCTGGGCACCAAGGGCAACGACAATGAACAGGAAGAGCCAGGGAGGTCACAGAGGGTCTCCTGGAAAAGAAGCTTGACCTAAAACCCAGAGGATGGCAGAAACTGGGCAAGTGAGACACCAGACAGCTGGGAATAGAGCTCAGGGGAGAACACTTCCTAGCATGCAGGAGGCAGCCTTGGGCACAAGCCTCCAGCACCCTGCACACGCACATGTGCACACAGGAAGCTTTGGACATGCAAACACAAGAGAAACTATTGTTACATAGGAGAAAGGGAATAAGAAAGAGGGGAGGGAGCCGGGGATACAGCTCAGCAGCCTAAGTGCCTGCCTGGCAAGCGCAAGGTCCTGAGTTCGATTCCTGGTACCAAAAAAAAGAAAAAAAAAGAAAGGGGGGAGAGTGCAGCAGAGGGGAATGGACTTTATCAAAATGTTATATGAGTACGCACGACAGTGCCATTATGAAACACAGTATTTTGTAAAATACACACTGAAAAGGGTGTCATAAGACAACAGGAATGTGCGTAACATACGCCACTTTTGATGGAGATGAAAGAAACCAAGGGCAGTTATACCATGAAAGGTGTATCAAACTCAGGTCTTTGGAGTTCAAAATGGATAATGTACAAAAATATGAAAATTTTAACTTCAATTCCCTAAACTGAATGATGTCATTAATGACAAGACATCAATACAAGAATGCATTTAAAAAGTATAAAACACTAAATTAATAGGATAATAATATTTTAGTTATTATTGGCACCAAAACTGTCATCTACAGAGTGTAGCAATCCCTTTAACTCTGATAATTAAGCACTTTCTTTGTTGCTAGTAAAATTAAAGAGAATGAAAAATAGAAAAAAGATTTAAAAAAAAAAGGAGGAGAAAGAAAAACCTTTACTCTCAGAGTGAAGTGGGGTAAAGTGGCACCCGCAGCACTCTTAGGCTGCCTACCTGAGACAAGGAACGTTGCAGTACTTACCGATGAGAAGACTCTTTAGTCTTCTGTAGTCCTCTGTCATGTCAAAATCATCGCCAGCGAATATTAACAGGGGTTTTGTTCCCTCAGGACATTTACTGTTCTATGAAGTGGGAAAAAAAATCATAATCATCGAAACCTACAGTTTATAGGCTTTTCTCCCCGAGACTGAACCCAGGCTCTCCTCATGCCAGACAAACACTACCCACTGAACTACACGGCCTTGGCCCCACAGACTTCAAGGCAATGAACACATATATACAGTAATATATGTTCCCATTTTTATTAACTGCTCTAAAACAATGCTTGCAAATGGTGAGTTTCAGACTTAAGTACAGAGATGCAATTTGATGCTGAGGGTGTGGCTCAAGTCATAGAGCACTTACCTAATATGCCTGAGGCCTTGGTTCAGTCCCCAGCACCACACCCACACCAAAACAATGTATCAATATCAGTACCACAAGATACTACAATTGGTCAAAAAAAAATCACAAAATAATTCTACCTTTATAATCAGTACCTTACCTTAATATCTTTTAGAGACACAAATTTCTCAATACCTAATTCAATCATATCCAGCACGTGGTAGTCATACATACGACCTAAAAGGAAAATCCATTTTTAAGCACATATCTTTACTGTTATTGGTATGGGTTTGTCATACATGATGATTACACTCACCGTGGGAAGGTGGTAAATGTACACAACACTTCTTAGTTCTTTTTTTAAGCCCTCCTCTTTCCTTCCCTGGATCTCTCGGACCCATTCCCCTCTAGGGACTACCCGGTGCATGCACACAGCACTTCACAGTCCTCCTGCTATTTTTAAATCACATTTTCCTCTGTCTTTCAGTTCCCTTCCCATATGCCAAAGAACCACCTCCTCATCTTCTATTGTCTTTTATTTTGCATTTATTTATATATTGGTTTCCCATATAAGAGAAGCTATGCAATACTTATACTTCTGTGTCTGATTTACTTAACAGTATGACCTCACAGTAGACCCATTTCCCAACAAATGATTCACATCTATCCTTCTTTATGGCACAGCAATATTCCACTGTGTCTATACACATTTTCTTTATCCATTCATCGGTTGATGGATATATAAGCACTTAAAAAATTTAGCTCTTATGAATTGTGCTGCTGTATATATGGGTAGGTATGTGTCACTATAATGTCTTTTAAGTCTTTTGTGAAGATACCTTAAAAGGGGGATAGCTGAGTCAAATGGAATTTCTATTTTTATTTTGTGGAATCTCCAAACTGATTTCTATAATGGTTGTACAGTATACCCTCACCAACAATAAAAAACGGTTCTTTGTTCCCTATAGCCCCTTGGCTCTTGAAGATAGCCATTCTTTCTGGAGTAAGAGGAATCTCAGTGTGGTTTTAATTTGGACTTCTCACTTGAAAGAGTGAATAAAAGTTAGGAAGTATGAAAGACATTGGGAAACGAAAGGAAAGTGCTTAAAAGTAAAGAGCAACT